CGGCGCCCGGTCGATTTAGAAATCGGCCGATGACTACTCATCGGCCGGCGCCCGGTGGCTATGTGACCTAGGCATTAGAGATAACCCTTTTATTCTTACTCTGAAGTAAAGAGCTGCATTTTCTCAAAAAATCAAATTTTGGGAATTTCTGTATCGATCCTTCTTAACAAAATGTGGTCTTTTATTTAATTTCTTGTTAATTTTCTTCCATTTTTTTCCTTTAAAAATCTGACTCCCAGTGAAAATTATGAACTCTGCAACATTGAAACCGAAGTGTGCAAAGGGCAACCAGGCTCCAGGTGACCCTGGCTCTTAATGGATACAATTGTTCATAATACTGAGTAATTTTCCATTTTCTTGATTGCTGGTCCGGAAAAGTTTAACTCGACAATAGAGTTTTAGGGACCATCTCGCTACAGTTTTGTTTCGCCAAAGTTTCCACTTCTACAGTATCGCTAATTATTTGTAGCAACAATAGGAGTTGGTTGCATTGACTCAGGAGTCTGGTTGCAGGACCCTTAGCAACAATCACAAATATTTCAATTATTTTTCATATCTATTTATTATCACCTCTATCCCTTCATGCTATCACAACATTACAAAATAAAGGATATCATGTGATACAACAAAATGAGATGTGACATCACAAAAATGTGGAATATGTCACATAACAAAATGAGATGTGACATCACAAAAATGTGGAACATGTCATATAACAAAATGAGATGTGACATCACAAAAATGTGGAATATGATGTCACATAGCAAAATATTGAAAATAAGTGACAACAACAAAAACGTAACAAATAATTGATTATTACATGGCATACACACTAAGGAACATCCTAGTACCTGATTCAAAAACATGCATTTTACAGATTTTAAGGCCAGTTAATCATTGCTAGTAAAATACAACGAATACTATTTCATTGTCTCACCCTGTAGAATATATATACACAGTATTTGCAGTAAATGTCACCCTGTAGCTAAAGTAAACCACATTCAAGATGAATTACATGTAACTTATTTCTCGTGGCTTTAGTATACACATAGACATAATTAAAACATGTTTTATACAGGGTGTTCCATATGTATGCACCCCCTCTAATCTCATACATGTAGCATTGCCACCCTATTATATTTATCATTTTTTCTAGGACACCCCTGGATTTTGAAATTTTGCATGTAACTTTCTTTGAGGAACAAAATGAAGGGGGTATGTACATATGAAACACCTTGTATGTCTCTGGTATATAGTTTAGACAAGTGACTACTATGCTAAAAATAACAGGAGATTTCTCTGATATTATTTCATTTTATATCATAATATCAAACATGATAATAACATTGGAATTCAATAAAAAAAAACACTCAGGTTTTTGCAGGGCGATAACCACACCCCTCTTGTCTTGATCTTTCCAAATGACAGAATGTGGTTTTAGTTAATTTTGAAATTTAAATGGTAATAATTTTATCATCCTGGAGACTATACTCGGAGGGAATCATGTTTTGAGAACCAGGATATGTTCTTGGAATGATTATAAATTACAAAGACAAGTTGTCATCCAATAATGAGTTTAGCAGCTCTTCATCCCTTGTTATGATTGTTCTAAGAGGAACCACTAGTTTCTTTGGTGTTGGGAGGGACTAGAAATTATAAAGAAAAGTCAGGCCCGTAGCCAGGGAGGTTTGGGGGGAATTCTTTCAAAATCATGAAGTTTTTCACCATTCTGAGCATTCTGGGTGATTTTGGGCCAAATTAGTTAAAGTGAAAACTGAACCCCCTTGGCAAAAGCTGGCTTAACGGGTTTGGGGGGATTCTTTCAAAATCACCATTCTGAGCATTCTGGGTGATTTTGGGCCAAATTAGTTAAAGCGAAAACTGAACCCCTTGGCAAAAGCTGGCTTAACGGGTTTAGGGGATTCTTCCAAAATCACCATTCTGGGTAATTTTGGGCCAGATTAGTTAAAGTAAAAGCTGTACCCCAAAAGCTGGCTTAACGGGTTTGGGGGGATTCTTTCAAAATCACCATTCTGAGCATTCTGGGTAATTTTGGGCCGGATTAGTTAAAGTAAAAACTGCACCCCCTTGGCAAAAGCTGGCTTAACGGGTTTGGGGGATTCTTTCAAAATCGCCATTCTGAGCATTCTGGGTGATTTTGGGCCAAATTAGTTAAAGTGAAAACTGAACCCCTTGGCAAAAGCTGGCTTAACGGGTTTAGGGGATTCTTCCAAAATCACCATTCTGGGTAATTTTGGGCCAGATTAGTTTAAGTAAAAGCTGTACCCCAAAAGCTGGCTTAACGGGTTTGGGGGGATTCTTTCAAAATCACCATTCTGAGCATTCTGGGTAATTTTGGGCCAGATTAGTTAAAGTAAAAACTGCACCCCCTTGGCAAAAGCTGGCTTAACGGGTTTGGGGGATTCTTTCAAAATCACCATTCTGAGCATTCTGGGTAATTTTGGGCCAAATTAGTTAAAGTGAAAACTGAGCCCCAAAAGCTGGCTTAACGGCCTGCAAGTTTCAGAAAGATTGTCACTTTACAACATTAATTATGATTTATCATGCCAATTTGTAAACTATATAATGAAATAGTTCTGACTTTATTATCAGATAATCCTTCCATTTTTAATGTCTTAATTTGGTCAGATGTCTCAATGTCTTTTTCAGAAAACAAAATAATTATTCATTCCCATTATTCCAACATTTAATGGGATTTGGGGTTAATAATACTGTATTTGTCTTTAATTTGGCGATTTTCTGTTTTTGGGCCTATGGCGTCCATTTAATTCGGCGATTTTTCAATTTGTGCCCCAGACATCCTCCCATCCAACCCAATGCAAGATACTCATTGTAAGTGTTATTGATGAAAATTTCTTAAAAATTTTTGTTGTTTCTATAAATCTAAACAGCCCAGCCATCTTTCTTATAAAGTAACCGGAAGTGCACCGCATAAAAAATATGTCATATTTCCGGGGATTTTGGTGACTATTTAATTCGGCAATTTTTTTAATTTGCCAAAATTCGCCAATTTAAAACACTAGCCAAATTAAAGGCAAATACAGTATACCATTTCTTCAGATACGCTTCATAATCAATATACATTAAAAATGTCTTAATGACACCTCTCTCTAGCGAACACTTGCATCTAGTGAATACTTGCATCTAGTGAACACTTGCATCTAGTGAACACCACTTAAAGACACACTCAACATAGACTCCTGTGTAAAATGATCTCTGTAGTGAACACCTACCTACAGTGAACACTTTTTTGTGGCTCCATTGGTGTTCACTATATACAGGTTTTACTGTATACAAACTCAAATCTCATCACTTCTGGAGTCTGTTCCTTCCTAATCATAGGCAGTGATCTCTCTAGCATTAAAGCAAGTGGGCGCAGCACCCGCCTGAGATTTTTAAAATAGACAGAGAACTTTGCACCCACCTGAGAAAAAATCCTGGGGAGATCACTGATAAGGTATACGCTTATATTTGGAATGTATCAAACAAAATCAACAAAAATAAACAAAATAATGCTGGTTGGTTCGGCTGATTTTTACACTACAGGCCTGTAGCCAGGGGAGTTCGAGCAGAATTTTTTCAAAATTATGCAATTTTTCACCAATATGAGAAGTTTTCAAGTGATTGTGGGTCGAAATTGCCAAATTTGAAACCCCCCTTGAATGTTTTAAAACCTTAACCCCCTTTGGCTAAAGCTGGCTACAGGCCTGCACTAAGTAAAGGTTTGTGCTCTATCAAATTAAAATACTGATAAAATAATAAAAATGGCCAATCATACCAATTAAACATACTGGTAGAGGAATACACATACATGTATAAAGTGGCTATTCCATCAATTAAACATAATGGATGAATATATAGAGGGTAGACTAAAAATGCAACATACATTTTAGAAATAAGGTAACCCTAACCTGAATAAACAATTTGCAGTAAAGTACTGGTATTATTTTAGTTTACAGTACAAGTACTGGTATTATTTCAGTTTACAGTTTAAGTACTGGTATCATTTCAGTTTACAGTTCAAGTACTGGTATTATTTCAGTTTACAGTACAAGTACTGGTATTATTTCAGTTTACAGTTCAAGTACTGGTATTATTTTAGTTTACAGTACAAGTACTGGTATTATTTCAGTTTACAGTACAAGTACTGGTATTATTTTAGTTTACAGTACAAGTACTGGTACATATTTAAGCACTGTTGGTTAAAGGTACAGCCCTATGACAAACTAATCTAATAATTCTATTTTTAGAACATTTAAGTTCTGAAAAGGTCTTTATCTTTAATATGTATTTAACATAAAAAAGTTGCAGAAAAGTTGGAGATTTCCAAAGTCAAGTCATTGTTTGATTTTTGGGGAAATTTGCCCGCAATATACAGGGTGTCCAAAAAATCACTTTACAATAACAATACAAAGAGACACCCTGTATTTGAGTAAGACCACCTTACTCAAGTTGATAATTCATGCATTTCAACCATTAAAATTAACATCAATATCGCATAATGTTTCTTCATTATTTCACTCAGAATTCAATCCTACTTTGTCCCATTATTCAATTAGACTCATTCAATTGAAATTTTAAATGTTTTTTCAATATTTCATTTGATATTTAATTAATCTCAATATCATGAATCTCTCTTTTTCATAACTTTATGTATGTAAACATATACATTCTTATATTATGCCAATATAACTTTTGCATATTCCTAAAACCCTGATTAATAAAAACCTTGGTTTCATATCTTATTACATTATGACATACAAGGAATGATCAAAAAGTTCTTAAAATATCTCTATACAGTAATTGTTTTTTCATTATCTCCACTTATTCTATATACTAGTTCGTTCAATAAGTTCACAGAAAAGTGCTTTTATTTTTGATAATTTCCCATGAAATTTTCACATAATGTGTAAAAACATTTTGTTATTGATTCATTAAATATCAGCATCTGTAATTTGATTGGTCAATAATAATGACTAAATTATGATAACCTGACCTTTGGGTAGAGCATTTTTCCGTGAACTTATTGAACGACCTGGTACATGGAATTCACTCTGTGAAAGTACCTGAATAAACATGTACGTGTACTAAAACTAGAGCATACAGAGACATAATGAAAACTTTATAACAACATTTCTGATCGTTTCTGTTCTTCACTGGTATTTAATATCTAAGTTGATGTTTCTTTTCTATTTCTTCTTTCTTCTATCCATTTTCTTGTTGTTTTTTGTACCTCTTACGTAGTGATTTTATCTGTGCTTGGGGAAACGATCCTGGGATTTTAAATATGCTCTGAAATAAGATATATATTTATTGTAGTTTAAATTCTTCTTTAATTTTCATCTTGAATCTGAAATACATCAATAAATGCCTTTGTAAAAGGAGTAACCAAATTATTTATCACATAATTTGATCTAAAATTGTCTTGATAATATCAAAATAAAACTGCACATAAAACGTTTTATAATGTTTATAACAGCTTTAAACTATTGAAAGTGTGAATTTCGGAATACTTAGTTATTGAAATCGCTTTCATAAGAATGCAAAATTGCCGTAAGGCAGGGACTAAAGTGTTACAAAACAGACCAAGATAAGTACAATGTCAGCAAGTCACAAGAAAACAAACCCAAATATCCTAAACTATGCTCTAGCGAGTAAAGAGTGTCTAATATCCTCTCCCCTGCCAGGACCACAAGACCATGGACTACTCTATTCATTTCATACTGAATACCATCACAATACTGTACATGTTGAAATCATCATGCATCAGTGAATAGTTGTCTTACTGGAATTACTTACCTGCATAAAGTCGTGACATCTTGTGGCTAAGGGGTCTTTAGGTATTTCCTTGAATGTATCGAGTATTTCTGCTAAATGGCGGCATTTCATGAGTTTTGATTGGTTATGTAGGATCAGTGTGATGCTCACACGGAAGATTATTTTTGACCCTTCGTAAAATAAACTGTCCCATATCCGCAATACAGTCTGAAATACAAAAGATGAAGTTCAATTTTGGTTATGGTTTTTAAAGATCTAAAGACCTTTTCTCATAAAATGAAATTATTTTTCCCATTTTGCCTTTTAGAGGTATCAACTACATGTACAGGTGTTTTACAAGTTTTATTATATTAAAATAGAAGTGTCCAAAACATACAAAATCAAGTACCAAGTGTTTCAAGTATTTTCAAAGAGGATTGGCTCCCAGAACGCAACTTCAATTTTCTGCCATATATGGGCATGTCTTGGTTAAAAAGTTCGAATTTAAACAGCCACCATTTTGTTCACTTCAGAATTTCCGAATTCAGAATTTCCAAACAAAATAATTCCGAAACACACAAGAAGTGATCAAAATATTGGTTCGAATCTTTTGGAATGTTGATTATGAATTTATAGTCTGTTATAATTTCAGAAAATAACGATATCCAGACATTTTCTTTGTTGGAAAATATTGTGATGTATCCCTGTGAGACAATCCTCCTTGAAGTTTTTTTTTATTTTTTCACTTTACCTCTATTGGAAGCACATCAGCAAAACAGCATATAAACCATTTGGTTGAAACGATACACCACATTAAACCCAACTCATCCATGTGTTTGTAAAGTTCTGGGGCTTTTATTCTAAAATTATAAAGATTGTATGTAGAATATGATGTTACCATAGCAACATATAAACCTTTTGGTTGAAACGATACACCACATTAAACCTAACTCATCCATATGTTTGTAAAGTTCTGGGGCTTTTATTCTGAAATTATAAATATTGTATGTACAATATGATGTAACCATAGCAACATATAAACCATTTGGTTGAAACGATACACCACATTAAACCCAACTCATCCATATGTTTGTAAAGTTCTGGGGCTTTTATTCTAAAATTATAAAGATTGTATGTAGAATATGATGTTACCATAGCAACATATAAACCTTTTGGTTGAAACGATACACCACATTAAACCTAACTCATCCATGTGTTTGTAAAGTTCTGGGGCTTTTATTCTAAAATTATAAAGATTGTATGTAGAATATGATGTTACCATAGCAACATATAAACCTTTTGGTTGAAACGATACACCACATTAAACCTAACTCATCCATATGTTTGTAAAGTTCTGGGCCTTTTATTCTGAAATTACAAATATTGTATGTACAATATGATGTTACCATAGCAACATATAAACCATTTGGTCAACACGATACACGACATTTAACCCAACTCATCCATATGTTTGTAAAGTTCTGGGCCTTTTATTCTGAAATAATAAAAATTGTATGAACAAGATGATGTTACCATAGCAATATACAAACCATTTGGTTGGCACGATACACTACATTAAACTCAAATCATCCATATGTTTATTAACTTCAAGGGCTTTTATTCTGAAATAGTAAAGCATTTATGTGTGTCAATATGTTGTTACCATAGCAACTGATGAACCTACATTGATGAAGTTTTGAATTTACCAAAAATCACAAAATCTCTCTCTGACTTTGTACATGTACTTGTATTGAGAGTTCTAGTTGTATTTAAGAGTCCTTTTTTAGAAATTTATAGACTAGAACTAGAGCTTTGGAGTTTTCAGAAGACATACATGTATGTACAATTTTATGTATTTCACCTAAAGCAACTCATATTCAACATATAGCAAGTGTCTGATATGTTAACAAAATGTGATTTTTTAAATCAAAATTGCTGATTTCTAACTAAAACCAACTTTACTTGGAAAATGGAGATGGGAGGCAAAACAGATAATATGGATAGGCATAAAATGGATGTAGGTATAACCTCATACAAACAGCAGTTTTAATAAATTAAAATGTATCACCGGTGTTGACAGATGGATGGAATGAAGGACCAAAAGATGGACACTGAGTCAATCCAATCAGCTACAAGTAGTTACAAATATATATTAATTGAAATGAACATTATTAATTGAAACACATACTTTAAGCTTTACAAAGATTGCAGACAAAAAAGTTAATGCTGACAGTATTGATTGATAACATATTTATAATTCAGACCACCAACACTGTATAGAAAAATAAGATGAAATCAATGAATGCTTCCAAGAACCTTATATTGCATGTCAAGGTGACTTTGGTAACGTCTCAGCGAGATGATCGATATACTTCAAAATCCAGAACTCACTTATACATAATAAAAATTATGCTATCTAACATATACATCGGATGTATAATCAACACAATTATAAAAGGTTTTTATTTATATAATATGAAAAATAAAAATTGGATTATTGATGAACTAAAAAATCAACACAGACGAATACAAGGTAATCAATAATGGTTTGTTGTTAGCAACAAACCGACAACAGACATCTTTGAATTTAATATAGGTGAGCATTTCTTTTCTTATTGTTTTGATGTATTACACTGTAGATGCAAGTAAAAGTAGCCTACTAGCCTACTTCATACACCCCCAAATTGCAATCAGATTTTTGTCACCGCTTTGGTGCCCAAATGGTACCATCAGGACTGATTTTTCGGTGCCATTTTGGCACTGTAAGTTTTGATTCTCAGAGGAATGAGAGTGTGACTTGCTTGGTTGACGAAAACAAAAATTTTATGAAATATAAACATGATCAATCTTTCATTCAGTTCTGACTTGAGACTAAAATTTATTAATTATATTCTGGTTCATATTTTCATTCAACCAAGCATTCTTCAATGTTCATATATTAATGGAAGATGTTTTTTATTATTAGGTGAATAGTGATGAGAGGAACAATATTGGATACTTCAAGAAAATACCAAACATTTTGTCCCAGATATGGATTTTTAACAAAATTAGAAAATACATGTACCACTTACAAAGGCTAATATCTTGAAGAAGCAGGTGCTTCATTCTTAGAGAATATAGCAACAGCAAGAGCAATTTTAAATCAATACTTCTAGAAATAAAACAACTATTCATCCTGGTTATGGACATTTGACATATTTCATAAATGTTCAATGCTGCATACAAAGGATAATAATTTAAAGGAACAGGGACAATATGGCAACTGCTGCAGCAACATGTGATACTTCTGTTGCTATTCATCCAGGTTATGCAAGACTGACTGAATTCATAAAAATCACATCTTCAAAGGTGGACATCTTCAATAAATATAAACATGAAGAACTGGAACATCATACCAAATTTATTACAGACTTTGCCCAGTCAATATGTACAGGATTTGGAGAATATAATGAACTTTTTAAGACTAAGAGACTTTTCCCTAGAGGTAGCTACTTTGAGAAAACAAAGATTGTCAGTCCTACAGAATATGATTTTCTTACTGTGTTAGCTCTGTCTGATGATGTGTCAGTTGAGGTGTGTGATGTATTGGACAGTCGATGTTCAGGAAAAGGATACCATGTTGTTAAGATTCATCCTGGACCATTACAGCAATGTCTTCTTAGTGATTATTCTAAATATGCATCTGATCCTGAATCTTTAGGTAAATATTATCCTTATATGAAACAATCTCCTTATGTTGCACAGTCGACACATGGTTCTTCAGATGATATCTACTTATTGAAAACAAACATAGCAAATCATCTGCATACTGTTTTAAACTCTTACTTAAAGAGCACTTATGGATCAACATACTTGGGAAAGAAAGATCTTAAAGAGGAGGAGAATCAAGGCTACAAACTAGAATCATTTAGTTTGCATGAGAGGCGACATGGTCCTAGTATGTGGCTGCGGATAGGAGGACCATTAGGCACCACAGACATAGATCTCTGTTTCTGTATTGAACATAAACCTGGATCTGTTATGGTAACTGTTCAAATACCTATTAAATTCTGGAATGAATCAATAGTGCACACCCTGCACCCAGCAACTAACCAAACATTACCTACTCGAAATCATAAACAACTTTTCCTACTTATGAAATATATATCCCACCTGTATAAGAAGATACACTGGTATCTCGACCATAAACATCCACACTACGATCTCATCTCCTCCTACTCCTACAAACTGCTGGTGATGAAACATCAGCAAAACTGCAAAGAATCTGACTCTAATGTAGGAAAATGCTTTGAGGATGTTGTGGAATATATATTTAATCAGTTCAGACAAGAAGGTGATGCTTCAAACCAGTATATATTATCTAATTGGGGCACCAACAAGAAAATATGTCTACCAGACACTTATTACCCCAACAGGATGGTAAATGTCACGTGCAGTGGCTACAATGGAAGTGAACTTACACTACTCCTGTGGGTGTTGAAACATGTCAAACATACTAGGGACACTCAATGGTGGAACCAACTGATGGATGATGACTTCCCAAACAACGTGAAATCTGGCGATGTATTACACTCCCTGTTAAACTCAGTCCAACAATCGTTTGGATATTTTAAAAGTAAACAACATGAGCACATTAATTGGCAACATGAGGATGACACTCAGACACAACTCAAATTCACTGATCGAAAGTCTGATCAAGGGTCTTATCAAGAGTCTGATCAAGAGTTTGATCAAGAGTTTGATCAAGAGTCTGATCAAGACTCTGACCAAGAGTCTTATCAAGAGTTTGATCAAGGGTCTTATCAAGAGTCTGATCAAGGGTCTTATCAAGAGTCTGATCAAGAGTTTGATCAAGAGTTTGATCAAGAGTCTGATCAAGAGTCTGATCAAGAGTCTGACCAAGAGTCTTATCAAGAGTTTGATCAAGAGTTTGATCAAGAGTCTGATCAAGACTCTGACCAAGAGTCTTATCAAGAGTTTGATCAAGGGTCTTATCAAGAGTCTGACCAAGAGTCTTATCAAGAGTCTGATCAAGAGTTTGATCAAGAGTCTGATCAAGAGTTTGATCAAGAGTCTGATCAAGAGTCTGACCAAGAGTCTTATCAAAAGTTTGATCAAGGGTCTTATCAAGAGTCTGACCAAGAGTCTTATCAAGAGTCTGATCAAGAGTTTGATCGAGAGTCTTATCAAGAGTTTGATCAAGAGTCTGATCAAGAGTCTGACTAGAGTCAAGAGTGTCAACCGTGCCGGCTTGTTGCTAGTGCACCACAGGAGTTTGATTGCAATAAACCTTGATGTCTCTCAAAAGAATTATGTGAGTGTTAGTGCGCTCTACTGAGATTTTTTGTTGAAAACACATGAGCACTACAGGGCTTATTGTTCTTTTTATTGATGCCTGTGGATAAACCTCATTAAAAATTATGCAATTCACTAGCACCATGGGCATACAAAAATACATTATGTTAGTCAATAAAATCTAAAAGTGACAAAATCAAGAAAACAAAAATTCATACCAAATTCTTCTACCAGAAGTTCGGCCATGCTAAAACAAAGACATCATGTCTTCATTTCCAGTTGAACTCAAGTGACCATGAGGGTGATTTATTGATTTATTATACAACATGATCTGAAATGTCATAAATGGCATGTTACAATGATAGCCAAAGTTCAGTATAAATGTAAAATTAGTATCAACTACAATTATTTTACATAGCTGTCATATGTCATTTGAATGGCATGGCTGTCGCTCAAACTTATCCCTTAACAAAATCTGTTTTAATTTACATGTTTATGTTTATGTTTATTTATTATTTGAAATACACACAAAATACAATATATGAACTGGGTGACACTTTAAAAAGTGTATATTCCCAATATTTGGCAAAAAATAATACATGTGTGTTGTCATACCTATTAAATGCAGTTGGGGACCTGCCTATGTATTCATCTATTTGAACGAAAGTATTGGTTTGTCACACCAGATCATAATAGACCAAATGAGATAACGTTTTTGCATAATGTCAAAAGTTTTCTTGAATACAATCATACCAATGAGTGCAAATATACTTACAATGTAGTTTGAACATTATTTGGAACAGAGGCAAAATCAGGGGGTACAGCGGAGCTTATAGGACATATAAGTCAGTTTAGTAAAAAACAAACAACAACAACAAAAAAAACACAAAAACAACATAACTGTATGTGATTGAAATGTTACCATATGGGTCAGATATACTGAGCGATCATATTGAGAGCAGTTTTGTTCTTCGAAGAAGCCAAAAGAGCATCCAAAAGAGCATACACGAGAGAAAGCATGATGAGGGCAATGGGTGATAAAGAGACAGCAAAATATCAATTGAGTTAGTATGTTTCCAAAAATAGTTTTTTTAGTTCTCTTTTAAATGAATAGAGGCTTTTTATTTGTTTAAGTCTTTCTGGTAATTTGTTCCAAAGCTGGGGTACTGAAATGGATATAGATGATTTACCATAATTTGTGCGAAATTTAGGTTGATCATAGGTCATTCTATCCCTGGTGTTATAAGGATTTCTTTCATGAACTGTTGTAAAGAGACGAGGGTATATACTCCTATAGTTATCTAAGTCGTTTTTCCATTTGAACATAAATATACATTTCGCTTGCTTATTAATGTCAAAAATAGTAATAAGTTTTAACATTTCAAAAAGTGGAGAGGAATGTGCTCTATAGTCACTATTTATTGCAAGACGTAGAAACCTTTTCTGGGACAAGTGAAGTGGATTTATTGATGTAGGATTTGCATCCCCCCAAACAAGATTACCATATATTAGATATGAATAGATCAAGGAGTAGTAAATACTTGTAAACCCTTGAATGTTTAAGATATGCTTAATCTTGTACAAAATACCTATGGTCCTTGAAATTTTCATATTAACTGAAGATATGTGATCTTTCCATGTCAAATGTTGGTCAATTATAATGCCTAAAAAACTGATCTTTGATACTTGTTCGAGTTTATTGTCATTGAGATACATTTTGAAGTTACTTGGATCATAGTGCTTCTGTCTAGACGTAAAAATGATGTATTTGGTTTTAGAAATGTTTATAGAAAGTCTATTAGTCACCAGCCATTCTTCAATATGTTTTAGCTCGGTGTTCAGTATATCATTGAGTTCATTTAGATTTTTGCCATTTATCAATATATTAGTGTCATCTGCAAAAAGAACAAAAAATAACCTTGGAGATGATAAGTATATGTCATTAATATAAACAATGAAGAAAAGGGGACCTAGTATGGAGCCTTGAGGGATTCCAAAGTTAATGGTATTTGGCTCAGAAATGACATCTTTGTATGAAGTTCTTTGAATTCTATTTTTGAAATAACTTTTTACCAAATCAAGTGATACGCCACGTATACCATAAAAATATAATTTTTGAAAAAGAATTTCATGGTCGATAGTGTCAAATGTCTTGGAAAAATCTAAAAATAGGCCAATTGAGTATTCTCCGAGATCAATAGGTTTTCTTATTTTTTCAACAAAATTTAGAACAGCCATAAAAGTTGACTTCTTTTCTCTAAATCCAAATTGATTAGAATATAAAATTTCCATTTTGTCAATAAAAGTAGAAAATCTCCTATGCATTAATTTTTCAAGTAATTTAGAGAATACAGGAAGGACAGAAATGGGGCGATAATTTGTAAATAATTTGTCATTATCTTTTTTATATATTGGAATGACTTTGGCGGCTTTTAAATGATCTGGAAATATACCATTGCTAAACGATAGATTAAATATATGCAAAAGGGGCTGTAAGAGTGTGTTACCACACTCCTTTATGACAAACGGCTTAAAGTCATCAAGACCAGCAGCTGAATTTTTCAGATTATTTATTTCAGTTCAGATTTCATCATGAGATATTGGATTAAGAAATAGAGTAGATTCTGTTTGACCTAAGTTCTGCATGAAATCAAGTGGGTTCTTTTTTGATTTGGGGATTTTTGAAGCAAGATTCTCACCTACAGTTGAAAAAAAGTTGTTAAATTGATTTGCAATTTGCTGTTTGTCTGTAATTTCAATGTTATTGTGAAGAAAAGATTCAGAAATATTGGTTGATTTATTTCTCCTTTGAAGTAATTCATTTAAAATTTGCCAGTTAGCTTTAATATAACCTTGGGTTTTTTGAAATCTATTGTTGTAGTACATTTTCTGAGAGTTTTTAATTATTCTCTTTAAGGTTTTTGCATAAGTATTGTAATTGATTTTATTTGGTTGGGAAGGGTTTCTAAGGACCTTTTTATATAATTTGCTTTTGTTCCTGATGGAAGTAAGAATGGCAGAAGTGACCCACGGTTTGTTATTATTATTATAGATCCTTTTTATAGTAGTTTTAAGAGGAAAGCATCTATCATAGTGTTTAGTTAAAATATCTTCAAATATATTATATGACGCATTAGAATCATTATTACTTATAACCTCATTCCAATTTTCACTTGAAAGTAATTCTTTAAATAGTTTAATATTTGGGTCAGTATATTTTCGCTGTTGGACTTTGATGTTTTTTATTCTATTAACATGTTTTTTACAAGAGGCATAAACAGGAAAATGGTCTGAAATATCGTTAAAAATTATACCACATGAGTCTGCCTTGGAGTCATTTGTAAATATGTTATCAATAAGTGTGGCAGAAGTTGATGTGACTCTTGTTGCTTTGTAGATCAGAGGAACTAGGTTAAATGAGGTCATTATATTATAAAAATTCTGTGTAGGAATATGCTGAGCTACTTTAAATAAGTCAATATTAAAGTCACCAGTGACATAGCAAATTTTATTCTCCAATGAAAGTTGAGATAGATAAGTGTTGAGATCATTATTGAAATCTTCAACATCAACATTAGGCGGCTTATATAAACAAGTGAATAATACATTTTTGCTGTTTTCTATAACAATCTCAATAGTTATCACATCACAGTCATTATTGTTAAATTTGAGACCAGGTCTTTCAATAATAGTCATGGAATTATGAACATAAATGCCTACCCCACCTCCTCTCGTGTTGCGTGATTTAAAGTGACCATTGTAATTCAAAAATTTGGAAAAATATGGTTCCTGGTCCTTATAGAGCCATGTTTTTGAAAGTGCTATTACTGAAATGGTCTTGTCAATAGCAGAAATCATGTTTGTTAATTTATGAAATGTTAACAAAGCATTTAAGATAACAAATGGTCTGTTATGTTCCATTGTTTGATATTTGGTTAGAATAAGTCACTTTTACTTGAATCCATTTACATTTAGAACGAATTGTCTGTTTTTGTCACTTTTGTCAAAACCTTTGTTAGTCAGATCAATGTGCAAAATTATCACTTGCATACATTTATTTGTCACATTCATTCGTTTTTAAATACCGAAAAGTCACATTTAGTCACATTTTTTGAGGCCAGGTCACCTTGTCACATATCTTTTGGGAGTCCCCATCTGTGTGAACAAATAAAAATATGATGAATCAATAGACACTTCTCAGAACTGAAAGCTACAAGTCAGTTTGACCCTGGAAGCATGAGATGAAGGATCAACTTAACACATATAGTGGATGTATTCAACAAATCAACACTATTATTAAAGAATATTTCAGTTCCTCTGAATATACTAAATGTATACGATATTGATGAACCGGAAGCTTAAACATTGGCAAAATTAGCAAATCAGAGTGGTGAAGCACTATACAGCTGAAGGTAATCACTAATCAATGCAGGGATTTGTTAAAAAACTTTTTGAAATTACTATACAAGGGTTGTTCTATAAGTACTGATAGTTATGCTCTCAATTCCATGCTCATCGAGGAATATGTTGAAATTTCTGGAGATTGATGGCAATTTGTATGTCAACATACTGGCCAAATATAATGAATTTAATTTTTTAAGTTATAGAAAGTTCAATATACAGGCTACCTACCTGGAGTAGTTTTCTGTTTTTATGTTCCAAAAAAATTGTGTATTTTAACCAAAATCCTTTTCAATATCTATAATAATTTCATGATCAAGCAAAGGCATATCTAATTAGAGTAGCTTCATAATATATATTCAGTATTGTAGACATACATATTGCCTTACCTTAATAAATATGGAAATAAGAGCTTTTGTATCAATATTTATTGAACAGTCCTCGTAGATGAACAATTATCTTCATATTATTTCAATATTTCCATTCTGAGAATGAGAAGTACTGACTTTGTACTCTATTCATTCTTTTAAAGATTCCAAAAGTACAAAATATAACCTATGACGTTCATATAGTTCTGGGCTTAGACTAAGATTGATTAAATTCTATTCAGATTTATATTCAACCAAGCGTTCTTCAATGTTCATATATTAATGGAAGATGTTTTTTTCATTATTAGGTGAATAGTGATGAGAGGAACAATTTTGGATACTTCCAGAAAATACCAAACATTTTATCCTGATCATAAATGTTTGACAGAATTAGTAAATACCAATGAAAAATACCTGGAATACCACAGACAAAGGATAACACTTTAAAGGAATAAGAACAATATGATTACAACTGCGGTGACATTTGATACTTCTGAAAAATACCAAGATACTCATCCAGGTTATGCAAGATTGACTGAATTTGTAAATATCACATCTTCAAAAGTGGACATTTTCAATAGATACAAACATGAAGAACTAGAAAATCATACAAGATATATTACAGACTTTGCTGAATCAATATGTACGGGATTTGGAGAATATAATGAACAATTCAAGACTAAGGGCCTTATCCCTCGAGGCAGTTACTTTGAGAAAACAAAGATTGTCAGTCCTAAAGAATATGATTTTCTTCCCGTGTTAGCTCTGTCTGATGACGCTTCAGTTGAGGTGTGTGATGTTCCAGAAGACAATGCATTGGCAGGGAAAGGATATGGAATGGTTAAGATTCACCCTGGATCATTACAGAATCGTCTTTACAGTGATTCAATCAAATATTGTTCCTCTGTCCCGGATTCTTCTTTATTTATGTTTGTTATAGACCACCTTCCTCATCCTGAACATTCTACAAATGGCTCTCTTGGTAAAGTCTGCTGCTTATCAACATGCATAGCAAATCATTTACATGACGATATAAACTCATACTTAAAGACCACGTATGGTTCGATGTACTTGGGCAAGAAAAACCATAAAGAAGAGAAGAATCCTTGCTACACACTTGGATCATTTAGTTTACATGTTGATCTACATGGTCCTAGTGTCTGGCTTCAGCTGGGTGGACCATTAGGCACCACAGACATAGATCTCTGTTTCTGTATTGCAAATGAACCTGGATGTGTTATGGTTCCTACATTTCTTCAAGATGATATGTACTGGGCTAAATCAATAGTGCAGACTCAATACCCAGCAACTAACCATAATTTATACACATATGTACCGACTGAAAATCATAGACAACTTTTTCTCCTTATGAAATACATATCCCACATGTGTGACAAGATACAGTGGCATCTTTACCATAAACACCCACATCTCATCTCGTCCTACTCTTATAAGCTCATGGTGATGAAACATCAGCAAAGCTGCACAGGATCTGACTCTAATGTAGGAAAATGCTTTGAGGATGTTGTGGAATATATATTTAATCAATTCAGGCAAGAAGGCAATGCTTCAAATCAGTATATGTTACCTATTTGGAACAAGACGATTAAACTACCAGATACGTATTATCCCAACAGGGAGGTGAGTATTGCGTCCAGTGGCTACAACAAAGGTGAACTTCTAATACTCTTGTGGGTATTAAAATATGTCAAACACACTAGAGACACTCATTGGTGGGACCAACTGATGGATGATGACTTCCCAAACAATGTAAAACCTGGAGATGTATCAAACTCCTTGTTAGACACATTCAAACGTATGCACTATACAGGTTTACTATTGGAACTGACTGGAGAGCCTAATAACCAAATCAATTGGCAACATGAGGATGGCATTCAGACACAGCTGTTATTCACTGACTGAATTTAGTAGATATCATAGTATTGTAAAATGACTTATTCAACATTCAAAATCAGGAATTATTTTAATCATATCACTGTCATATTTCTCACTTTCTGATTGGTCTACTGACATTTGACCAGGAAGTAAGAAGAGAAATTCAATGGATGTACGCATGACTATTAAATATCAAATTATATTCACCAGTTACAACTTAGTCCTGTGTGATTTTAATTTTATATATACCCAGGATTGAGTTAGTTCAGTGAAGCTTATTAATAACAAATGCAATCAGTCTGATCAAGTTATACATATGCGAGTATAGAACTGTACATCATGGAAAAACTTATTTTGGATGACAAATTAATCTCATTTGTCTAAAAGTGGAAATACTGGGTGTTAATATACAACATTAACTACTTTTTAAGACATTGTATACCAATTGATCAAGTAATGTCCACTAATTGAGGCCCTACAAAATTTTGGGCCCAAAATATTTAGGCCCTAAATTTTTTCTGGGTCTACCCAAGGAGGGGGGGTGCTGGATCTGCCAGATACATCTACATACAGTATTGACCTAGTTTCTAAAAGTAACATGTACAAGAACTAAGGAACTAGAAGGGATAGAGACAAGTTTAGATAAATTTCAGGATATTGTCCAAAAATTTTCACGCTCATAATTCAATATCATGCTCCCTTTGCAAAATATTGAAAGAGAATGCCCCATTTTGTATAATTCTAATGAATTTGAACATATTTGACCCTCATTCTCTATCCCTTCTTTTTCCTTTGAAATATTTCTTACTTGACTAGCTGCCCCAGAACATCTTGGTCGACCTTTAACCCTTCAAGTCCCTTGCTGTAATAATCTGAAAAACATACAAATACGAGTATAAATAATAGATAAGGCATTAACATGCAAAATGTCACCACCTGCCATTTGTAACAGATGCCATATTGCTGACTGACAAATTCCAAACATCATCCACAAAAAGTTGGAGACTATACAGGGGTGTCTCTAGAATTTCTGACAACAGGTTAAAAACAACAGGTAAAATTAATGGAAATCATAAATTTAACATGGAAAAGTTTAAAAGTCTCCAAAAACAACAGGCGTTTCTGTGAAAACAACAGGTGAAAATCGCCTGTTGCCTGCTGTTAATGAAACCCCCGCCGTATCAATAAGTCACCACTTCTGCCGATGACGTAAAAACAGTCTCAGAGTAGAACAATCCTACCTATCTAAACATATTTTATCAAAGGACGATTCTCGGTTTGGAGAACGAAGTTCATCAATCTAAATGAGCATTATCCCTGCTTCGGACAAATTTGATTTTTTTACATGATAAAGATTTGAATGTCTTCTTTTGAATAGTCATAATTTAATTTGGGTAATATTTCTAGATTTTTCGCAAAAAAATATTAGCTCAGTACACTGATGGACTTCTTTCCCCGAATCGAGACTTGTATTTATATTGAATCGGTCTATTTGAGCATTATCCCTGCTTCAGACCAATTTGTTATCTTTAAATCATGTAGATTTAAATGTCCTCTTTTAAATATTCATAGTTTAATTTGGGTAATATTTCTATATTTTTCATGAAAAAAATTATTAGCCCAGGAGACTGTTCTCCAAACCGAGAATCGTCCATTCTCTTCATTATGAACATTTCCTGATAGACTTAACACAGGACAATAGTATTGTCTCATTTGGGTAAACTACGAGGCCTGTTACTATAACGATGTGTCAATAAATGTGGCAGCCTTTTTGAATTGAGCAGTTATAAAAAGAATTTAAATTGAAAAGTTTCACAAATAAGCCAAAGTGATTTAAACTTTACATGAGGCCCTTGAGAAACTACAATATCAAATCATATTCCGCCAAGAATGAATTTTTTTTTCTGGTTGTCTTATTTCACCTCTCCAACCATTAAATCCATTTCAGACTATAAAGTCCTATATTTCTTCTGAATTTTATTCGAATTTCGAGTGCTAACTTTTACGAAAATTTGAAATCCCATACCTGGTAAATATTTGTTGACTAGAGTATGTAGAAGCCAGAACACTTTGTGTTCATCTTTCACAACTAACAGGAGCATGCCAGTTATAAAATTCAGTCCCTGAAATAAAGAATTGTACAGGAAAGTCTTCAAGTAGAAAACCTCTTTTAATTTTTCACAAGTTGAACATTTCCAGTTAAAATAAATGTAATTGGAACACATCATTTGTGGAATAATATTCTGTTTTACTTTACTTGCCACTCATTTAAATGGCAAGTCTGTTTATGGCAGTCCTTCAATGACTACTGCGCAGTCAGTTCGCACATCCTAAATTCTGCTCTCGTGTAAGCTCTCGATGAACTAGAACCAATATTGTATATACACCAAAAAATAACTCCCCCCATTGATTGTGGGATTTTTTCATAAATAAAAAATAATTTCCTATTGAGAGCAAGGTTAAATTAAAACATTTTTGTAGAAATAACTAAATGGTTGATCTCTAATTTTCACATATTTTTTTAACCATCAGTATATCTTTTACCAAGATTTTTTTCAAGAAAATCTGAATTGTAGAAAAAAGCTGATACACTGTGAAGTACTACTTCAATATGCCTGGTAAGTTATTGCTAATGGTACAAATGGATTTGACAGTACTCTACATACCTGGCAATAACCTATATCTTTATTATGATGAGCAAATGCTATTAAAACATTCTGGAGGGGTCGTCTCATTGTTTGTGGATTTGACATGTCCCCGAAGAATATGTTATCTGGGAATGTACGATGAATATCTAAAAGAAAATGAGAAATAAGATCCATCTGTTTAAACCTTTTGTAATACCAACCTTTGAAAATGACAACACTTTCTGGTTTTTTTTCAAAAGTAAGATCAGGGAATAATGTTGTTCATTACCAGTGCGGGTCTAATAAAATAGATATGAGAATATAGTTCAGATGACTTGCAGATTTTTTTTTATTGGGATAAATTTATTTCATTATAAAGTATTGTAAAGAAAAACTTTTCAATCGCCCGAAAGCATTACTGAAGAGTAGGATAGAAGAATATAAAACAAATAAAATATTACGATCGAGTTCAAGGGATTCACTTTGCACTTGGGGTTGGCCATAGGGTTTGTAATTTTGTTTTTGAACATCTGATGGACAAGTTGGCAATTTCATAAGCTCACAATGTTAGCCAGAAAAAATTCTGGTTCTACTGTACCTTGTTTTATAGTATCTACCAGTTCTTGATCCTGAGGGGCTTCAAGTAGAGTAGAATATAAGGTTGGGTTACCAGCCATTTGTTCTTCAGCCCCACTTATTGACATCCACACCTAGAATAACATAAATTATTACACCACAATCACGATCCTCAGTCACTGATTGGTCAATATTGTGTCACATGATCAAATTATAAAGCGAGAGTTCAATGATAGTGAGTAATTATTTGAATGTCAATATGGTGCAAAATGTGTTGAACCTTAGAGAAACAGGAAAATCATAATTGATCATTTGATAGTGCAAATATAATTGAAAGGACAGTAAACCTTTATTTTTTGTTGATTCCAGTTTTTTTTCCATTGTTTTATGATGCACAGTAAAACCTGTGTTAAAGTGAACCACATATGGTACCTCAAAATAGTGTTACACTTTGTAAGTGTTAATTATCCTCCTAAGCAGGTGACCTGAATCTGTACCTCCTTCTTCCCCCTGCTATAAGCAATTTGGAAGCACCCGATTAAACTGAGTCGCGTGATCTAATTATGCAACGATGACGTATACGTGATTGCAACAGCAAATCAAATTGCGAGTTCTTAATCGGGGAAATGCTAACTGCTTATCACAGGGGGTAAAAAGAAAGAAGATATTCTGGATTTTGAAGCCCTGTGATCGGAGGATGGTGTTAATGGGTAACATAACATGACTTAGAAAAATGTTCCATTCATAGAGGTGTTCCATTTACAAGGTGTTCCAATTTAGAGGTTTTATTGTATGAAATACTTACCATGGCTCTATGTTCACCAGGAATACCCTTTCTGCAATACCGTTTCACTTAAAAATAAAAAATAAATATTAACATTTTTTAATAACCTTATTTCTCTTGAGTGGGTTAGGCAGAAATAGACAGGGCTTGTATCACACTAAATGGCATACTATTGGCATTACAGGGCTTGTATTACACTAAATGGCATACCATTGGCATTACAGGGCTTGTATCACACTAAATGGCATACCATTGGCATTACTTTGGCATTGACATACATATTGTCTCCTTTGTTACAAGTTACAAAAATGTAACAAGCAGTTACAGGTCCCTAACACACATGCCAAATGCCAGTTACAAATAATGGTATGTTGCCACTCCTTGGCGATGATGTAAAATTTTAAAAATTATTAGATTAGTGCAAAACAATTTTAGAATTAAGAAAATGACCATTATGCTAATACTTTGATAATCAACCTTTTGACTCATGACTATTTTTGCTGTTATTTGCTACAGACTTCCATGATTCAGTAAACTAAAAGAAATTAATAAGTTTTTGTCTGAAAATCAGATGCAATTAATTTCTAATATCGTATTATTTCCTAACTCTTTTATATATTTGTAAAGATAACGTAAAATGATCTTAAGCTATTACTATAGACTGACCTTTTGCATTTCTGTCGACTTTTGAATTGTAGTCGATCACGTTCCGCCATTTTCCCGCACGTCTGGCAAGAACAGCAAGATAATCAGACATGAATTCCTCATATGTTGTATAGTCAAAACTCTCACTGCGTTGGAATCCATATGTGTCTATCTTGCTGAAAAACATATAAATCAGACATGAATTCCTCATATGTTGTATAGTCAAAACTCTCACTGCGTTGGAATCCATATGTGTCTATCTTGCTGAAAAACATATAAATCAGACATGAATTCCTCATATGTTGTATAGTCAAAACTGTCACTGCGTTGGAATCCATATGTGTCTATCTTGCTGAAAAACATATAAATCAGACATGAATTCCTCATATGTTGTATAGTCAAAACTCTCACTGCGTTGGAATCCATATGTGTCTATCTTGCTGAAAAACATATAAATCAGACATAAATTCCTCATATGTTGTATAGTCGAAACTGTCACTGCGTTGGAATCCATATGTGTCTATCTTGCTGAAAAACATACATACAAGGTGATTGAGCATATGATTTAATGAAATTGGGATTATCTTGCACAAGTTTTTTCAGTAACATAAATGTGAGAGAGGTATCAGATTTCCTTGCATTAGAATGGAAAAAAATACACACAGTGGAGCATCCATCCTTCTGAGCAGGTGTCCAGAATCCGTACCTCCTTCTTCCCCCTGCTATAACCAATTTAGGAGCACCCGATTAAACTGAATCATGTGATCTAATTATGCACAATGACTTATACATGATTTCTATCGCAGTGTTGCGACAGCCAATCAGATTGAGAGTTCTTAATCGGGGAAATTCTTTAACTGCTTATCGCAGGAGGTAAAAAGAAAGAAGATATTCTGGATTTTGAAGCCCTGTGATCGGAGGATGTGGAGCATCAGTCGATGTAATTTCAAACTCCATTAAAACATATTCAATGAAGCAAGCTATCACTTTAAAATCATGACTGACCATTCACAAGCGATAATGTCTCAATGATATGATTCATGTTTACATAATAAAATCTGTTTAGAAAAAAAATAATTGAAAGACATACTGCAAACCCATATATTCAAACACCTCTCAATGTGAACACTTTTTCAGTACAACCTTTTATCTGCTCTAAATTTCCATGTTAAACCTGAATTTCTATGTTAAACCTGAATTTCCATGTTAAACCTGAATTTCCATGTTCAACCTTGAAATATGATCACCTGCCAATCTGAACATTTGTGGACAGTTGCAGTAGCATTCCAATTTGACCGGTTCTGCATATTAATTAAGGCTACACATTTGTAAATTATTATTTGCTTTTAACTTGTATTACCCTAAACATTCCTTTAGACTAACTCCATGTAATCCCAATATCCTTGTTTTCTCCATGATTCTAAATCACTTATAGTACGTACATGTGGATAAAGCACTGATATAACACAATGACGTTACTTATCTAAAATATATTCCATCTGAGTTATTAAGGTTTACAGGATCTAGGATTTGTATAATACTTTCCCAATTTCTCCACAAAGGAATATCTTAGGGATTTTATTATCTACTTAAGTATTTAAATATCTCACTTATTGAGAAATTATGCATGATTCTGTTATTTTACATTGTAATTAAATATATTCTTGTGATACTCCTGTTATCAATCAAGACCTTTCAGGGTTCTATACATTAAATTCCATTTTAGTATTGAAGATAAATTTATTCAGCAAAATGGTGAAATCTTTTGTTGAACATCTGTTTAAAAATCAATTCTCGTGTTATTGCCATTAATAAGGTGCACTGATAGATAAAATCAATAGAAATTATAGTTGCATTTAGCCGATTCCTTACTTATGTCAGTTTAATGTTAATAATCTGATAAGTGAGATGAGAAATCGATTAGTCCTTTTAGAATCCAAATAACTTTAATAAGGACATAACATGTAATTTCAAAGTAGATTTCTATTAAGAAAGAAATCAAACTGTGCTTATGCAGTGTTATTGGTGGAAAATGAGAAAACTCTTGAATCATCAAAGAACAATCAATTACAATATTTATTTGGTAAGTATGGCATGCCAACCCGTCTGTGTCCAAAAGTTTACAAATAAAAGCACTGTAAAGAGAAGATATGAATAGACAAACCAGTAGTGCCATCTTTATATCAACTTTATTGTTAAATGCTTTTAATAAAATTGTGGACACAGTGACCCCTGTTACACAGGCCAGTTGAAATGCTTCGTTACGAAGCAATTTGACAAAAAGCTTCGTAACGAAGCAATTTTGGGCCAGTGTAACACCTCCGCCTTCGTTAGAAAAGCTTAGTTGATAACGAAGCAATTGAGTAGAAAATTCAACGAAGGTTAGGTCCCAACGAAGCTTTTTTGGCCTGTGTAACAGGTAGCTTCGTTAGAAATTGCTTAGTTGGCGGTTTGCGCATGCGCGTAACAAAGAGCACATTCATCATTTTGTATTAAATGAGAGGAATTGCGAGGAAAGAACATGTTTTTAAGTACGTATCATTATAATGCCACGTTTTGATTAAAATAATTACCTATTTGCGTCACTGATTGACGCTAACTCAAGCCCTAAACGCCACGTACAAATGTGATTTACCGTCTTTCGTAGCATTTCATTCGATTCCCTGCCTTTCCTCGCATTGATATGACAAAAAGTATTAAATCTAAAAAACTCAGGTTCACCGTATATATGTATACGGTAGCTTTGAAACGTTTATCTGATCTATTTGAGAATAAACCTAGAATATTTAAATGTCCCTCTTTCGGAAAACTCCGTATCAAGTGTGGAAGGGTAAACTTTTGAAATTACATAAGATATGCTTACTAAATAGAAAGTTGTGGCATACATGTTTAATATTAATTTTTTCTTGCGCCTTGAATAATTATACCTTGAATGTAATTCTAAAGGTGTTAATACCATGATACTGATACAATTGCTTCCCCGTGAATCACATCAGGTGAAATTAGCCGATTTGATTGATTCGAAAATGTCTCTCTTCAGAAATCGTATTCAACTGGCTATCGCCCCATTGCAATACTTGTACTAGTCGTTCCATTATTCTATTCTTCGACGATTTTAAATTGTAATTGAATTTAAACTTCATGTTTAAATATATTGAATTAATTACGTTTCAAAACTTCCGTATACAAATACGGTAAAACCACCTGCGGACAAGGAACGGTGGCCAGTGTCGACAGATATTTGCCACAGAGAGGCTGCATGTTTTAGGCCAGCCCCAAACACTATTGATGTGTCGTAAGACGATGCTTACAACTGATATTCAAGTTTCTTCCTATTTGCGCCATTTTCGAATTCAACGGACGGCTGATGGATTAACATACTAATTTATGTCAAACTCACTCAAATATGCATGGAATATTGGCGAAACGGGTAATATTCATATTAAGATGAATTGGTCATGAAATAGTAGTTAAACCACCAGCCGAACACCAAGATATTTTAGTAATGGCTACACTATTTGAAATATACTGAGAAGTCCATTTGGAAATTGAACGTTTTTATACGATATTACATACTAGTCCTCTGTATAAACCCCAAATCCAATTCCTCCTAGTAATTAACATAGGCCTATTTTATTCCATATATTTTCCAAAGGAAATGATTGAAAATGAAAACAATACTTGTAATCGTATTGACAGGTGAAATATATAAAAATCGAAATGATGGGAAAAATGTATGGACATGTGTAGATCACATTCATCTGGTTTTATTTTCCCGAGAATTTTGATCTAGTCTTTTTCTGTGCTGAATTGTTAAAATAAAGATTAAAAATTATATTTTTGAGTTTCATCAATTTTTTATATCAAATGAATAAAGATATTAATCATAATAAGTGGGTGGGGCAGATGAGTAATGCGCACGCGCAACGAAGCATTTTAAGTGCAGTGTAACACCAAATAATTGCTTCGTTAGGGTTGGATAAAGCCAGTGTGGACACAATTTTGTCGCTAACCTTCGTCCATCAGTGTCACAATATAGGGTAGCGATTATTGGGTTTTTATTTTGTGCTACTTTTGGACTTAGAATAAAATGTAAAATGACCAGGCATTAAACATACAGTTCAGTCCAGCCTTTCGATAGATTTTCATACCTTTTTTCAAAACCAACACAAATAGATTTTCATACCTTTTTTCAAAACCAACACAAATGGCCAAAAGTAACACTTTTCCAGGAAATAAACAGAGTTCAGCCTATCGATAGATTTTTATACCTTTTTTCAAAACCAACACAAATGGCCAAAAGTATCACTTTTTCAGAAAATAAACAGAGTCCAGCAAACGATAGATTTTCATACCTTTTTTCAAAACCAACACAAATGGCAAAAAGTAGCACTTTCCAGAAAATAAACAGAGTCAAGTCCTCTATCGATAGATTTTTATACCTTTTTTCAAAACCAACACAAATGGCGAAAAGTAACACTTTTCAGAAAATAAACAGAGTCCAGCATACGATAGATTTTCATACCTTTTTTCAAAACCAACACAAATGGCAAAAAGTAGCACTTTCTGGAAAATAAACAGAGTCCAGCATACGATAGATTTTCATACCTTTTTTCAAAACCAACACAAATGGCAAAAAGTAGCACTTTCCAGAAAATAAACAGAGTCCAGCAGAGTGTTGGAGTCAAGTCTATCGATAGATTTTTATACCTTTTTTCAAACCCAACACAAATGGCGAAAAGTAACACTTTTCAGAAAATAAACAGAGTCCAGCATACGATAGATTTTCATACCTTTTTTCAAAACCAACACAAATGGCAAAAAGTAGCACTTTCCAGAAAATAAACAGAGTCCAGCATACGATAGATTTTCATACCTTTTTTCAAAACCAACACAAATGGCGAAAAGTAACACTTTTTCAGAAAATAAACAGAGTCCAGCATAGGATAGATTTTTATACCTTTTTTCAAAACCAACACAAATGGCGAAAAGTAACACTTTTCAGAAAATAAACAGAGTCCAGCATACGATAGATTTTCATACCTTTTTTCAAAACCAACACAAATGGCGAAAAGTAACACTTTTTCAGAAAATAAACAGAGTCCAGCATTCGATAGATTTTCATACCTTTTTTCAAAACCAACACAAATGGCGAAAAGTAACACTTTTCAGAAAATA